TAATACTCTTGTCTCCTGTGATGATAGTGGAAGTCTCATATGGAATGAAGAGCATGATGGACATTTCTCTTTCAGATCTGCATTTGAAGAGGTAAGAGAGGTATCTTTCAATCACTCAATTTATCAGAACATTTGGGATTCTAAACAGGAGTTAAAAGTTAAACTGCTTCAATGGAAGATTGTAAAGGGCATAATTCCTACAGCTGATACTCTAGGAAGGTTTAATATTGTCTTGAATCCTTCTATGTGTCCTTTATGTCGAAGAGCTAGTGATTCATTGGACCACCTTTTTTACAAGTGTTACATTGCTAGAAGGGTTTGGCAATACTTCATTGGGATTTTTGGAATTTACATTCCTATTGGCCAGGACTATACTTCTTTCAAATATTGGAGGCCTAAATCAAGCTCAACTAATCTGGTTGGTGTTTACATCCATAACATATTTGGCATTGTATGTTGGTTTCTTTGGAAAACATACTCCAACCTGGTTTGGGGTACAGGGGGCGTTGGGCACTCAGCTGAACAAATTATACTTCAGATCAAGATATACACGCAAAGCTGGGTAAAAATTTTATCAAAGGATAAGATAAGGACCGTTGGGAGCATTTTAAAGGAAGAACATATTATACCAAACGATTTCATGATTAATCGACCAAACATTCAGGTTATCAAATGGCAAAAACATCTGAGGAATAAGCTTAATGTGGACGCCAGTTACTTATCTCATAAAGCCTTCGGAGGGGCTATTTTGCGTGATGCTAGTGGCAAGATGCTCTTAGCTGTGGGATTTCCGATAGACGCGAACTCTACGCTGGAAGCAGAACTGAAAGCCATTGTCTTAGCAACTCGATGGATGATCGATAGGGGTTTCTCGGATTTCTTGGTTGAGTCGGACTGTAAGATTGCATTGGATTATCTAGCCGGAAGGGAGACGAGGAGATGGAAAGGGGAGATTCAGAAAACCGCTCACCTAGCGATTAGGAAACAGGTAACCTTCTCCCACGTGTACAGGGATTGTAATTGGGTGGCCCATCACATGGCGGCGGCCCATTTCAGTCAGATTATATTTCTAGAGAGCCCAAGTTCTTTACCGGTTTATGCCAAACGGGCCTACTGGATGGACCTTTTTGGTATTCCTTCTTTCCGTTTTTAGGCTAGTTTGTTTTTCTCTTATTTTTGATAAGGAAGTTTTGGCCTAGTCCCCTTCCTTTTGTAATTCATTGATTCATTAATAATATCCCGGTATATGACTCCCGGCATATACCCCACTGATTTTGGTGGTTTGCCTTCCGGGATAAAAAAAAACGAGTACCCCTATTAGATTTGATGTATTAGAATTTTTCTTTGTAAGTATTAGTATAGTCGACGGGCCAGAGATCCTCTTGGTGCTTCGGATCAAAGTTGCATGCAGAGAGTTGTTCTTAAGAGAAGCCTTCAGAGAACTGATCAGAGTTGCTAGCAGAGTTGCTCTTCAGAGAAGCCTTCAGGGAAACTATGAGAGTTGCTATCAGAACTACTCATCAGCGAACCTATCAGAGTTGCTACCAGAGCTGCCTTCATAGTGAACTATCAGAGTACCATCAGAGTAACACTAATCAGAGAGCCTCATCAGACTCCGACTTACACTTAGAGGAATTCGATGCTACTTTCAACGGCTGTTAAACTAACGGGAAATTCCTTAACGGCTAGAAGCTTTGACGTGAAGGGAAAGCATTTAATGCTCATTGAATGAGCTTGATACGCTGTGGAGTAATTGCAAATGATTGACCGAGATTCCTGGAGGAAATATTTTAAAAATAGCAACTTGCCATTTCTGCAGGTCCAAGCCGTCAACTCCACATTACGCGCATTTAATGTAGTTGTCACCCTCCTCCAACGGGAAGACAACCTCAGTATAAAAGATACACGACGAAGAACAACTGGACAACTTCTGCTCTCAACACAATTCAATAAGCTCTCTTGTGATTCAAACTGCCTAATCATCTACAAGACAAAGCTTACGTTGGGAAGATCAAAACACTCAAATACTTCAACCCCAACAAAGAGAAAAGTTCCTCCAGTTCTTCAACACTTCAAGCACTTCATCAACAAATATTTTGTGACGAAGCAAGTTGGAGAAAAACCTTACGTTACAAAACATCTTCTGCAAAAAAAGGGCGTCCAATTAACTGGAGTAGTGAAGTGGTGATACTTCTGGGAAGTTCAGTGAAAGGACCAGCCATCAGGAAGCAGGACTGCATCCCGGGTGGCAACTAGACTTGAAGAAGACGTGGAGAGCTTCTTAAGTTCTAGAGACTAAAGCTTTGTAACCGTTTACCTCAAAGTTTAGTGGAACAGTGGACTAGAGGAACGCATTGTTCCTTGAACCACTATAAAAATCCCGGTGTCATTTACTTTAACGCATTTTATTTCAGCACTTAGGATCTTAACTGTTTAACCCTTAAAGAACTTGGAATTTGTGTTCAGCAGATCTTGTTCTAAGAGTTATCAGAAAGGTACTTGCCTTAGTGTTTTCTTGAGGCTACCCGGACAGAACCATATCCGCTGCCAAGGCCAGTTCTGCCATCAGAACTCGACCTTCTCTGTCACCAGACTCAGACCATCTCTGTCACCAGACTCAGACCATCTCTGATAAGTCAGTGTGGACTTAGAGAAAATTTGAAAATCCTAACAGTCTATTCACCCCCCTCTAGACTGTTACCAACTTAAACGGGACCAACAAGTGGTATCAGAGCCTCCTTGTTCTTGTAATCTTTTAGGTTACTCTTTGAACAAAGATCCACTTGTTTTAGCCTCTTTATTTCTTATTATGGATAACTCTCTTGCAAAGCACCTTATGTTTTCAGATCAGAAGTATGATGATTGGAAGATCAGGATGAAGGCACATCTCTGTGCACTTCATGATGAGATGTGGGAAGTTCTTGAAGAAGGACCCTTCACCAAATTCACGAAGATAAACACTGCATATGCTGCTGATAAGACACAGCTAGAAATGATTGGAGAAGCCAGATGAGAATGGACCAAAGAAGAAAGGAGACAATACAACCTTGACAACATAGCCAAAGATATCCTCTATAAGGCCATTGACAACAGATACTTCAACAGGATCAAGAAGTGTCAGACTGCTAAGGAAATATGGGATAAGCTTGATCTCATAGGAGCTGGAGATGAGCAGGAAAGAGACAACAAGCTGACCATAGCCATGAAGAAGTTTGATGACTTCAAACTTCTGCTTGAGGAATGCATAGCTGAGATGCATGCCAGACTTCTGATTCTCACAAGCGAAATGTTTGAGCTTGGAAAGGAGCTCACAGTCAAAGAAGTCAATCTGAAGATCCTCAGAGGATTGCCTTCAATCTGGAAGATGAAAGTGATTGTTGTCCAGGAAAGCAAGGATATCAAGACCTATCCTATAGAGAGATTGATCTCAGATCTCAAAGCTTATGAATTTGAGATGTTTGAAGAAAAGGAAGAAGTGCCAGATGAGAGAACCACCACTACCCTTACTGCCAGCACTTCTAATGTGACACCGCACCCGAATGTCCTTGGAGATTTGATTTAGATATTCAAAGTTTATGTATTGGATTTTTGATTCCCGAACAATTTGTAAAACGATTAATGTTCTACGTAGTGCATGGTTGAATATCGTACTGTTCAAACTCGTACACTAGTGTCGGGTTTCGCAAATACTTATTCGGGACTTATTAATAAATAAAAGAGCCCAACATTTCCTAAATAGTGATACATAATCCTTCAAGACAATTTGAGGAAGGTCGGGTGGCCCAAACATTATTTTGGGCCAACCTGCTAAAAATAGCAAGTGTTCGAGAATGGCGTTCTAAACCCACTCGGGAGTGACCCACACGGCTAGTAGCCCAATAATACGTATGACAAATGTCAAATAAGTGATTGAATGATTAAGGAAGAATACAAATGCCTATAACCCCACCTTGGGCCTTATTGAGCTAAATAATGGGAGTAGGATTTTCCTTCTATAATATTCATCAAGTAAATTATTGGGATGAGCCTACACATATTGGAGATCAATAATGTGATTTAGGAAGTTGACTTGTTCTAAGTAAATTAGGATGAGTACAAAAAGACATTTTTAACAAAGATAAAACAATAGGACCCATCTTCCCATTTTTGGAAGTATTGGTAGATATTTTGGACCCCAAATTTAATGGGATCAATTGGGAACCACTTGTAACACTTGAGATTTAATATAAACGGATTAATAGTACTACTCATACCAACAGAGGTGCATCTCCTTTTAAGGGAGCTCATTACCCAAGAACTCCAAAGTTAAGCGTGCTCGCACGGGAGTAGTCTTGGGATGGGTGACCCCCTGGGAAGTTTCTCAGGGCGCGCATGAGTGAGGACAAAGTGCGCGGTAAAGAGCCCAGCTCAATAATCACCGATAACTACTATGGTCTAGAGCCCAGCTCAATAATCACCGTTATCTACATCGGTCTAGAGCCCAGCTCAATAATCACCGATAACTACTACGGTCTAGAGCCCAGCTCAATAATCACCGTTATCTACATCGGTCTAGAGCCCAGCTCAATAATCACCGATTCTTTACAATTCAATTTCTTAGGATCCATTCATCCATTATTCAACTACAAGTCCAACTAATATTTCAATACTAGTTATTTACTCATTTCAATGTAATTCTTCATTAAATATGAAATTTGGCCTCAATATCAAAATATCACTTTTATTCCTTCATGGCTTCTTTTCATGAAATAAAAGTATACTTATCACACATGGGATTTTATGGTTGATACTACTATCATGCCATCATATTCATAACATTTTGACATACACAATTTATTCAATAAATTTGTATATTATGCAACCTATACTTATAATCAATAGTAATTTCATTTAGGCATTATTAACCATTAATAATCCATGCAAATCACATTGTGTATTCATTTAGGGAATCTCATGAAATTAACCCAAAGATTATAAGCAATATAGTCGGTCATCCTCACCTTAAGTGAGCTTAAGCGCGTTCTACGCTCCCCGATTGAACTTTGACTAATTTCGGCAAACTTTGACCAACTCCGGTGAACTTTGACCAACTCCGGCGAAACTCCGGCGAAGCTCAAAAATGCTTTAACCAAGTTCCTAAAAGGGTTTTAACATCATAAAACCTTAATCAATACAAATAACCTCTAAAAGGTTATTTTCCGGTGAACTTGTCGGTTTGGCTTCTAAGTCCGTTCTTGGACTTAGAACCATTCTCCAACCCATTATTCTACACTTAAATTATGTAGAACAACCCTCAAGGTTCTTCCTATGATGATAGAAGAAAAATAAAGGAAAAGTTAATATAAGGTCATTACCTTAATCGTCCTCACTTTTCCTAGCTTTTTCTCCCTTTAATCTTCCCCCTTGGACCTCTATTGTTTGAGCTCTCTTCAAGGATGGGAAAAGGAGGATGGAGGTTTTTCTTTTCTTGCTGGGGTTGGTGCTGGCCGAGAGAAGGAGTGAGGGAGAGAGGGGGTGAGGCTCCTTTTTGGCATTTTTGCCAAATGAGTGAGAATGGGGCCCTTGGGATGTCAAGGTTGTCTCTCCCATCTCCTCAAGGTTTTCAGCCCTTGTTTGACATAGATCAGCCCCCCCTTTGCTGCCAAATTCGTGGGTTGGCCCCCACCCATGTGGGAGGTCAACCCTTTTTGTCCAGAAGTGTACAATCGGTCCCGAAAGTTGTATTTTTCGGACTGTTTTAGTTATATTTTATTTTATCGGGTCAAATAAAATACATTAAGTGTTTCCAAATCATTATGACCCTTATAATGAATATACATCCCCCAACTTTACTTTATAAGTTCCCGAAATTCATTTCGGGTTTTTATCTGTTAAATTACCAATACCGGTATTCTGGCCTTTTGATCAACCGGTCAACTCTATATCATTTCTTTGGACCAAATAAATTATCCACCACTATATAAATATTATCTAGACCAAGATGAATAACTTATGTGGTCCCGGGAATATAGGGTGGTCCCCGCTCCCGGCGTGGGCCCCACGTGCGAATTTACTATTCACGCAAAATAATTAATAAAAACTCATAACATCGTAAATTCGTCAACTATTCCATAAGGTTAAAATACAATATTCACTTAAAAGTAAATATATTTGGGGACGGTGTTACACCAGGCCCCCTCATCGAAATCCTCCAGGGGAATAGATTCCGAAGCCTGGAAAGGAGATGGCCCTTCAGTGATCACCAGGGGGGCATCTTTGGTCCCCTCGGTCTTTTTCTTCTTCTTGCTCTCCGGAGGCATGACGGCCTTCCCGGTAATTTTTCTCTTCAGCTCCCCAGCTTGGGAGCCCCCGGCTTCAGCAACGGTGTCCACGACAGCGGCTCCCTTGGGGTGGCCCTCACCCTCCGGGACCACGGAGGCCCCGGCTTTCTTAAGGACCTCGTCAACAAGGGGTTGGTTCGAGGACCCCTCCTCCTTCTTCTTTTTTGGCACCTTGGCCAGCTTTTTAGACAGACGGGCGAAGGCCTGAACGTCCATAATGTCACCTACAGCAATTCGGAAGGGGTTAGAAACGAAACAAGTAAAATGCAGAAAAATTCTAAGTACCAATAACAAGGGCCCCCGGCTACAACCTCCGGCGTTCTGGTATCCGCGGTCAATCAGGGGATACTTCTCGTCCTTGTCCTCCAGGAGGCGATAACGACGGAAGCCCAACAAATATAGCTCCTCAGGCGACGCCGCCGCCTTAATGGCAATCACTTTATCTGAACCTTCCGGCTTCTCAATGAGCCTCCTCCCGGCCTTATCGAGGGCTGCACTTCCTACCTTCGGGTGCCTCTTGAAATGATTGTTAAGAGCCCCCGGGAATGGATTCTCAGCCACCCGGATGTAGCAGAATTTCTCTTTCCATTCCTTATGAGACGAGGGGGTCTCAGAGAAGAGCTTCCAGGCCGGCACCTGCTGCAAGTTGGCATACCCCCCGGCGTGAGAGTGTCCTCCCCGGCACAGGTTGAAGGAGAGAAAGAACTGGTCCAGTGAAGCAGCTATCCCCCGGCTTCGGCAGAGAGCCAGGAACCCCGCCAGGTAGTAATGACTATTGGGTGTGAGCTGGCAGGGGGCCAGTTTCACATGCTTCAAATACGCTACTACAAACGGGTGGAGCGGAAATCTGAGCCCTAATTCCACCGAGAGCATGTGCACCGAAAAACATCCCTCGGGGGGATGGGATAACAGGTCGTTGGGCCCCGGCTCCACTACTTGTGCCGACGGCCCCACAAGGACTTGGAGGGCTAGACATTCGGCCCCCGACGCTGTGGTCCTCACCTCAAGGGCCGTTGTATCCAAATACGAATGCCCCTCAGGGATCCCGACTGGCTGCCCAGCGTCCACGGCCGCTTGCTTCTTCTTCGGAGCGGCCCTCAGCTTCTACTTCTTCTTGGCGGGGGCAACACTCAGAGGCTCCGGATCTAAGGGCCGGGAGCTACTTGCCTCATCGGTTCTGCGAGGGGGGGGGGGGGGGCATAGCCACGGTAACCCTCTGCCTTTCACTCTCTTCCGCCTCCTGGGCAACTTGGACCGCAATGGCCATCTCCTCGTCTTCGATTACTTGCTCGAAGTCTTCAGCTTCCATCTCCACTAGGAGGCGGCTCTGCACTTCCTCAGCTACGGCCAGATCGTTAGTTGTCGAGGGCTGTTCGCTCGAAGACACCACGTCAGAAATGCTTTCGGTTTGAACCGAGGGATCCCTCGAGATATCTTGGGAATCACTCACGGAAGACATGAGAATAGGCAGGAACGAGATCCTAACCGGGGGGCTCTAAGTTGTTTTTAACACTTAAACAAGGAAGGAAGGAGCAAAACCTACTAGAGAACTCAAGAACAAGAGAAGGACTGACCTCGGAGTGTTGGGTTTGATCGAGGGCAAGAGTTTCTCTCTCTAAAAATTTCAGCAGAGCTTCGCTAAGATTCGGAAACGCACAAGGGGAATGGCTCAGGTTCTGGGGTATTTATAGGCAAATGGGCCTCGAGAACTGGGCCTCGATTTGAAAAGCCCATCATTTCAGGCCGCCGGTTCAGCCAATGGATGACAGTCGCTCCCTCCAGCCAGTGAGGACACGCCATGTCAACCCCTCTTCCAACGGCTATATTGCAACGGCTATATTTCAGAAGCACTTTAGTACCCTCGAATGATAGCCTCCGGCTTTCACTCCCCGCAGCCTTCGGACAACGAATTCCACCAAACGCCTTCGAGCCCGTAGCAGCATAAACCTTCGGCTTATCAATGTTACCACCCCTCGGGGGCTCATCAACTCATCATAACTCCTTCAGCCCAAACTCGCCTTCGGCCTAAAGGAGTGGGGGACTGGGATACACCCCTCGGGGATCATACACAACAAAAATTTCTTCATGCAACAATTTACAATTGACGCATTCGGCCTCCGGGCAATTTCTTCATCACAACACATGCAGGAAATACACTTATGCTTTCCCCAGAAAACCCTCGACATGTGAGGGACTGAGGAAAGCCTTCTGCGGCCATACAGGTGTTACACTGCCCTCAGAAAGCCCTCTACATGTGAGGGACTGAGGGTAGCCCCCGGCGAACGAGCGAAGGTTATGAATACCTTCCCTCAGAAAACCCTCGACATGTGAGGGACTGAGGGAAGCCTTCGGCAATCAGCAGAAGACAAGTTCTCCAGCAAAAGCACCCATCGAAATGATGAAGCCTCCAGAAGAAGCAACACATCTACTCCTTTTCCCTCAAGTACCTTTCGGCAAAAGGAGTGAGGGACTCCTGATGGAGTATATGGCCCAGGAACCCCCGGCCCATAGACTCCTACTTCTCCTACACAAGTCCGTTGAGCCCAGAGAACAACTCAGGCCCAAACACAACGGCCCAAGCCTCGAAGTAGCCCAGAATACACACTGGGGTGCCTTCGGCCTCCTTGGCCGAAGGCTCCAAAACCCACAGGATAGCCTTCTCTGGCATAAGAAGCTGCTGGGAGAAAACGGGCGAGGACATGAGCCTTCGGCATTCTCATGCCCTCGGCACCAGGGGGAACCTTCGGCTGAACCAAGCTTTCGGCTACACAAGGAGCCCTCGGCTACACAAGGAGCCCTCGGCTACACAAGGAGCCCTTGGCTACACAAGGAGCCCTCGGCTACACAAGGAGCCTTCGGCTGAACAAAGAGCCTTCGGCTGAACAAGCTCAATCATCGAAGATTCCTTTTAGAGACAGCCAACCACCGCATTTAATGCCACGTCGCATCCGCCAACCGCATTCAATGCGGTTGACGTACCACTGCCGGTGCCACTAGGCTGATGTGACCCTTCGGCCGTTGGATTACTGACACGTGTCCTCTCATCGCATTTATTGCTGCTATAAATAGCAGCCCGTTTCTCCTTGTAAAATCATCTACATCTCACTACACACGCTGAGTTCATTTAATAAAATCGACTCTCTCTCCTCCTATTTGCTCTGACTTCTCTCTAGTTATTCCCGCAATAACCCTTCGGATAAGATACCCCCCGGGTAGACTGTCCATCATCACCTTATGAAATTTTTCCCGAATTTTATAACCTAAAATCCAATTTTGACAACTACTTGATAATTTTCCCAATATTAACTAGAAAATACAAAAAGCAACTACAAGTTTTATATTGACTACTGGGAGTGATATTACTGTGAATTAAACTGGAATTAGGACAGAAACTATTTTTTTTCCCCTTTTTTGAGTATTTAATTTAATTTATGCAATAATAACAACTAAATGCCGGAATAAACTTAAAAATTACTTCTACTTCGTAAAAATTAACTTTGTTTTGATAAATAACTACCTTGAGGCTAGAAAACAACTATATAATTAATTGGAATGGATTCAACATCGAAAATTACTTTTTTCAATTTTTGGAAGAAAATGCAAATTACTTGATAAATATTCTGGAAATTTTTGAAGAACATATAGAACAAACAAAGCACAGATTCAGATTCTACACGTTGAGAGGATTAAATTGCATATATATATAGAACTTACAAATTGGAGCTAAAATGAGAAAGATATGAAATATTGAAGATGAAGGTGCAACAATGCTGGAAATCCGAGCTTTGAGGAGGAAGAAGACGCCCTTTTTGATCTGAATTAGGCTTGAGATTGTGTGCTCTGAGTTGGGGATGGAAGAGGGCTTTTAAAGCCGGAGATTTTTGGAAGGCGGCCAAGAAGGCGGCCGCCCTCCGGCCATGGCCGGCAGCCTTCGGTCTCATCTCCGACAAAGCTACATGCATGCGTCGATTCCGCCGCAGGCGCCCACGGAAGGCGGCCGCCCTTTTGGGCGCCTCTCATCTTGTCTCAGCAACCGGTAGCTTATACATCACATCCTGCCGCAGGCGGCCACAGAGGGCGGCCGCCTTCCGGCCCCTGTCGGCAGCCTTCCATTATTTTGTCGCCATGCAAAGTGTTAAGTGCTGAAAATGTCAAAAACTCGTAGGCGCCCGGAAAGGCGGCCGCCTGATCGACCGTCTTACGTCAAATGGAAAAGTTGTCTTCACCAAAGTTGTAGCTCTCTTTCTTGGCTAACTACTGGAATTTGAATCGCATTCATTGGATTTGTAGTTTATGAGATATGGTCAAAACGGTGACCACGTGTCACTTTCCATCGCAACTGCAAATGTCTGATTTCTTTGAGTAATATGTCCATTCTACGGTGGTTAT